ATTGGAATTCATTATAATTGCTCTCAATCATTCTGGTAGATTGCATCACCTAGTTTTTATAAAGTTTCCAAAAATGATTCCTTAAAACATCACGCATAAATTATTTAGGGTTCAGCTCTTTCTCCATCTGTTGGTATAATTTTGGGGCTGTTCTAAATAAGTGTTTTTATGTCTTTGGAGGATTCACAAAATTGGTTAGCAAGATACTGATTACTACTAAATCCCTTATTCTCCACTTAATTTACTTGTCTTAATTTTGTTTCACTACAAATTCAAAGCATCAAAGACCTGGAAAAAAATCGTAGAGGTGAGCTTTGTCCTTAATGACAAGAGAGTGGGCAGAGTGACAGTTACCTAATGCCTGGCAAAAGATTTCAAGAGCAGTACAAAGGTTACAAATACTCACTTTGAAACAAAGTTTGACTTTTCAGCTGACATTACAACAGTCAGCTGAGGAGTGGGATGTGGCATCTTAATTGCCATCACTTTTTCTCCAATACTACAATCTGAAAAATCCTCCTAATGCTAACTAGAAGTGATCAGCATGATGTGGTTGATGCTCTCAAGCTGGCTGATGGGGCTGACTCTCAGCTCTAGCAGTTAATCTGTGACTCAGGGCAAGATGTCTTAGTCTCTCAGTAATACATCCCTCCTCTCTAATATGAAGCTAATAGTAATATCTACCTTAAAGTGATATTGATAGAATTAAGTGAGAAAATATATAGAAAGTGCTTAGAGGCTTAGAGGGGCTGGAGATGTAGTGCAATTGGTGGAGTGCTTGCTTTGTATGCACAAGACCCTGGGTTCAATCCCCAGCACCACCAAAAAAAAAAAAAAAAAGGGCTTGGAATGGTGCTGTGGGGGCTGGCGCTGGGGCTCAAGTGGTAGCATGCTTGCCTGGCATGCGTGAGGCACTGGGTTTGATCCTCAGATATTGTGTCCATCTAAAACTAAAAAAAATAAAAAATAAAAAAAAAAATAGAATGGTGCTGTGTACTTGCTAAGTTCAAGAAATATTATCTGTTAATTATATTAAACCAATTTTAGAGAATAAAGTGCTGGCTTTGAAACTCCAGGCGTCTGAATCTTTACATTATAGGGTGACAGCTGCTACTGCTGTTTTGTAGAACTTCTTCAAAGAGACCTGGGAAATGGTAGTCTTGACATCAGATTCCTGTTCCTCAGGAGCGAGTATTAAAAAGGTCCATAACATCTTACTAGCTTCTTTTATTTCACCTGTTATCATGGATTTCTTTGAAGAATGATTATTTTGAGATGACCTATTTAGTCTGTGATATATGTGGTTTCCAACCTGTCTCTTCAAACCCCTTTATGTAATTCCTGAAAATCTCACAATATTTAGTTGGGTAATTATTTTCATCTTCCTCAATTATTCCTAGGTATTAACATTTTGTGGTAGTAGTTCTTTGATAAAACACAAAATAGCATTGTGACATGGGAAGAGTTTATATTCTATTGGAGCTAACCATATGACAAGGACATTTAACATTTATGCTGAATTTCTCCTAGAAACTATAAAATGTATAAGACAACCCACTTAACACTTCGAGTGTTTATTGAAAAATCTTTGGTTTTAATTTTCCTTTCCTTTTCTGTCTGATAGTTGCAATTATAGGCATTCTATGGATAGCTTGAATGTAATTCCACATTGCAAAAGAAACCACTTATTAACAGTTACTGAAAAAAGTTTCATCCATTTGTCAAAATTCCAGTCCAAACCTTCCAAGGCCTATTTCACTGCCAGATGAGATCCCCACCTTGGACTGTTCACACCACTTTGTTAATACCCCTTTTATGGCAAGGGTTATAATTATTACTCACAAACACGTCTTAATATCTACACACACACACCACACAGTGTGTGTGTGAGAGAGAGAGAGAGAGAGAGAGAGAGAGAGAAAACGAACATCCAGCTGCTTCTAACTATCTTCTCTGTCCCAATGTCCTGTTTGGATTGCAGTATGGATTACTGCAGCATCCTTCTAACTGGTCTTGCTGTGTTCATGCCAGACCCTTCAACCCCCATATCAGGCTATTTTCAACACAGTAGTTAGCATGACCTTATAAAAACAGTCTAGATTATGTCACTTTTCTCGTTAGACCTGCTTTACCCAGAGCAAAAATCCTAATAATTGTCTGCAAGGCTCTGTATGACCTGTTCCCAACTCCATGTGCCTTGCTTCCTAGCTTTCTCCAAGTCTGCTAAAAAGTAATAGTTTGAGAGGCCTTCTCAACAGCATTCTTTAGTTTTTGTAAAGGCGAATTCCTCCCCTCATTTCTAGATCAAATTCCTTTACGTTTATTTTTTTTTTCCCTATAGCATTTAACACATGACACATTATTCAATTGATTTGTTCATTTCCCCTTTCTTCAGTAAAATGTAAGCTCCATGAAAGTAGGAACAATCTGTTTACTGCTGTAGCCCCAGAGCTTAGAACAGTCCCTGACATACAGCAGGCAATTAATAAACACTAAATACACGAATGGCCCTTCTACTTCAGAACATAAGGTCCTTGAAGGTTCTGTCTGATTCAGTCACTCACTCTCTTTTTGGTGTAGGAGAATGAACCCAGGGCCACCCGCATGCTTACCACAGCTCTGCCACTGAGCTGCACGCCTGATTCTGCTTTACACTTTTGGGGGCCCAGGTCATTTCATTTAAATGACCCTTAACAGATATATTTTCAAAATAACTTTGTTTATTTTTTAACATGGTGCTAAGGATTAAACCCAGTGCCTCACATGTGCTAGGCAAATGCTCCACCACTGAGCCACAACCCAAGCCCTTAACAAATATTTTTAAATGAAGGAATAGCTTGGGAATTGAAGTTATTGGGGATACTTGAGATACGTCTACACAGAATGAGGGGCATCAACTATCAAAGCCACTACATATACTGGAGAGCAGCACGCTGGTTCTAAAATGTAAAGGACAACCAGATTTTTTTTGTATCCATCAACATTTCCGGTCTATGTTAATATTCATGAAATAATTACGAAGACAGTAAATATTTAACTCCTTAAACTGGTCATCTTAATTCACTATCCTTAATTAACCAGCTTTATGTTTCAGGACTCTGTTTCGCTTCGTGCCCAACTAACATCATTTACTCTTCCTAGCAATCCTTGGAGGTAAGATATTAATACTCTCGCACTTGGCAAAGAGTCAAGGTAGGCTCAGAGAGGGCAGTGGCCGGTGCAAGGTGGTTCCGCCACTGAGTGTCAGTGTCAGAATTCTAATCCAGGACAGCTGACTTCCGGGCCACCGGCACCGGGTTGACTAACTTGAACCGGCTCCGCCTCTGCAGGAGTAGCCTCCTAGAGGGCAGAAGCACGATTGCGCAGATGCTCAGGACAGCACGAATTCTTCACCCAGGTCCCCGAGGGGTCGGGAGCCTTCGGCATTTATCCGAGAAAACAGTTTTGCCACAGATGCCTCGAAAGCCCAAGTTTCCTGGTCGTCGGTATAGCACCCCCAGGGTGGACTAAGAGTGTACGACAGGCGCTTTGCAAACTGCAAGCCACTAGAACAAGAGTAACCCAGAGGAAGCTTCGAAAACAATGCCCGCAGGAGGCACCGGACCCATAACTTGCTGACAATGACACCGGTCGGGATTCCTGCGGCGGGCGGGATGCCGACGGTCACCCGTTCTTGCAGTGGAAGGGGCGGCGCCGGGAGCAGCGGTTCCCAGGGGCCCAGGATCTGAGCGACCCGGCCAGCCCAGGCCGGACCCGCCCCCAGACTCCACTCAACGCGAACACCGGGCCCGCTGTCCGTCGCCCCTCACCACCCGGCCGAGGGCCTCGAGGGGGTACGCAGGGCCCCGCCCTGCCCCCAGCCCTGCCGGCGGCAACCCGCCCGCAGACCGCAGCCCGGCAGCGCGACTGCTCACCTGTGCTCGCCCCGTCCTTCTCTTCCTCCCGGCGAGGGCGTCTGGAGCCGACCCGCGGCGCCAGCCCCGCCCCCGCCCCCGCACCGCCCTGGCCCCGCCCCCGAACCGCCGGAAGTGCTCGGCCTGGGCTCTCCTTCCCGCCTACCCGGCCGCCAGTGTGGCGTCACTTCCGCTTGCGCCAGGCCGCGCGCGAGGAGGCTGCGTCTCGCGAACGCGCTGGGAGCGCCCCGGGGCCGGGAGCGCGCCTCGTAGATGACAACAAATTCGTCGTGCGGCGGCGGTGGAGGTGTCTACCTCAGCCCTTGCCTCCTGCCTCGCGCTGTCTTGCACCCGCTCTGTGGGCCGACGGTGACCCGGAAAGCCGCCGGGCCTGGAGCGACCGGCACTCCTCAGCGCCTGGTCCCCGCCGGGCCTAGCGCGAGCGGTGCGGCGCGGGTGATGGGGTCGCCCTGAGGGACGGTGGCGCCGAGCGGGCATGCAGGAGCCGTCCAGCGCTTAGACCCGCCCGCCGGCCTGGTGCCGCCGGCCTCGGAGCCTGAGCCTGGGCGCGAGGCCGGAGCCGCCGCACGCAGCCCCCGCGGCCAGCTGCCAGCCCTCACCATGCCGTGGCCGTTTTCGGAGTCCATCAAGAAGAGGGCCTGTCGGTACCTCCTGCAGAGGTACCTGGGCCACTTCCTGCAGGAGAAGCTGAGCCTGGAGCAGCTCAGCCTGGACCTCTACCAGGGCACCGGCTCCCTCGCCCAGGTCCCTCTGGACAAATGGGTAAGCGCCGCCCGCCGGGCGGGACTCGCTCCCCGTCCTCCGGCGACTGGACGAGCGTCCTCGGGGTTGGCACGTCGCTCCCTGCTTGGGGCTGTTTGGACCCAGGTGTGGCGGGGCTCGGGGGAATTGTGTCAAGTGTGGTGTTTAGTCTGTTGGCTGCGAGATCGGTCCCCAGAGTCACGTGTTCCAGAAACTTAACAGCTGTCAAGGCGTCTACACCGTGGGACTCGCGAATCCGGGCCGTGGGGGCCCTGGGGCAGGCCGGGGCCCGGGAGCGAGGTGGCCAGCCCTGGCTGTGGGGTGGAGGGCCCGTGGCCGACCTACCTGTCTTTGGGTGACATTCCGGAATGATGAAAGATGAAGGGACCGTTGGGATGTCGGGACCCCGGTTGGTTATTTGGGGGTGGCTGCGTGCACGCCGCGCTTGCCTGGTTTTCTCCGAAGCCTTTGCCATTTGGAAGAAAGTCGGGTGGAGGCTTCCTGTGCCGCTTTGCCTGCGTCGCTTGATCACGTGTTTTCAAGGCCAGCGTGTGTAGCCAGGTGGTGAGTGGCCGAGTGACCCTGGTAGTGCCACAGTTGTTACGCCTGTGGACTTCACGTCGCAGACGTAAAAGCAGGCGTTGGAAAGCGCTGAAGTTGCGATTCAGACATTTTTATAGTCTGATTTACACTTGTCGCCCAGAGGCTGTGAGTTGACTCATTATGCCTTAAGGCTTTTCAGGTGTATCCGACTCACCACCTGCCGTTGTGTGGGCACCTGTGGGTGGGACGCGTAGTATTTTACATAAAAAGTCTGTTTGGCCTTCAGTTGGACAAGGTTAGAGTGGCTTCTCCCCTTTGCCACAGAAAAGCTTCAATTATGGTAACAGCTTATTAGGACTCTATTATTAATTTGTGCTAAGGAGTATGAATAAGCATATAATTGTATCAGTAAGTAGGTGACTTAAGCTAGAGTCTTAAATTAGTTTAAAGAGCCCTAGTTTGAGTAGCAAAAAGACTTAGTCCTACACCAGGGTTGTCCAGGTTGCCAGAATTAGCCAAGTGATAGTGGAGGTAGAATTTACCTGAGGTCAATACGTCATATTGTACTTCTATAGTATAAATGCAATTCTTACCAAAAGGTAGAAATTCTGATAGTTATTTTTGAATTCAGCAACCTATCATTCTATATTTTTGGTACATTTGGAATGGAGAATCTTGATGGAGGAGGGTTGGGCATTTTATTTTAGTGTGTTGGGATCAACCCAGGGCCTCTCACATGCTAGGTAAGTTTTCTACAAGTGAACTGTATCCCCCGTCCTGGACATTTATCACATGTCTTTAGTAAGAGAAGTGACTAATATGCATTATTCTTTAATGTCTTCATATCCAAAAGATAGGTATTATTTCCATTTTATAGAAGGAGTTAAATAATTTGCTCAAGTCACATAGCTAGCAGGTGTTACAGTGAGAATTAAAATCTAGTTCCTAAGCCTATGCTTTTTTTTATTTTATTACATCACATAGTTTATGAGGAATCCAGTTAACAAAGGAGCTGAACAGGTGCATCACAGAAGAAATACGAATCGTCACAAATATATGAAAAATGTTCAACTTCTCTAGCAATTCGAGAAACACAAATTAAAACTACACTGAGATTCCATCTCACTCCACTCCATCTCACTTTTTGTATTATCAAGAATACAAACAACAATAAATGTTAGCGAGGATGTCGGGGTGGGGGGGGGAAGGTACATTAATGGTGGGAGTGCAGTTGATGCAACCACTCTAGAAAGCAATATGGAGATTCCTCAGAAAACTTGTAATGGAACCACCATTTGACCCAGTTATTCCACTCCTTGGAATATACCCAGAGGACTTCAAATTAGCGTACTACAGTAATGCAGCCACATCCATGTTTATAGCAGCTCAATTCACAATAGCCAAGCTATGGAATCAACCTAGATGCCTTTCAGCAGGTGAATGGATAAATAAAATATAATATATATACACAATGGAATATTATTTAGCCATAAAGAAGAATGAAATGATGGCATTTGCCACTAAATGGATGGAAATGGAGACTATCATGCTAAGTGAAATAAGCCAGTTCCAAAAAACCAAAGGCTGAATGTGCTGTCTGATTTGTGGATGTTAATGCACAATAAGGGGGAGGGGTGGAATGGAAGAATAGAAGTTCATTGGATTAGATAAAGGGGAAAGAAGGGGAATGAAGGGAAGGGTGGGGAAATAGAAAGAAAGACAGTAGAATGATTCGGACTTAACTTTCCTATGTTTTTATAAGAGTACATGACCAGTGAAACTCCACATCATGTACAACCACAATAATGGGAAGTTATACTCCATGTATGCATAATATGTCAAAATATATTGTCATGCACATCTAAAAAGAACAAATAAAAAAGGAAGCCAATTAATGTTTATTGAGCACCTATTTATGTCAGGCAGTGTTCTAGGCTTTTTCATTTCTGTGGTTTTATTTTATCCTTATGGGAAATCAAATGATGATATTTGAATTTTATATGTTGACTTCAGGATCATTGGCAAAATAATTTATGACTAGACTTAATTTGAGGATTGTTGTGTTCTTGTAAGGGTTATGCCAACTAAAATGCTACTGTTAAAGTTTCCAGTAATATTTGCTGCTGTTTATTTATTTTAGTGTGATACTTAGCTATAACTATTCAAAATTCTGTTTACAAATTCAGTTGCTTTTGATACTTGCTTTTACTGACTTTTATAACTGAAAAAATGATACCTACAAAGATTCATAAATCCTAATGGAAGAATGCATCATTGGCTGCATTACTGGTTTTTTTTTTTTTTTTTTTTTAAATACTAGGAATTCAACTCCAGGGCACTTTACTACATCCCCAGTCCTTTTGTTTTTATTTGGGATAGGGTCTCATTAAGTTGCTCAGGGTCTCAGTAAGTTGCTGAAGCTGGCCTTGAACTTTTGATCTGCCTCAGCCTGTGGAGTCCCAGGGATTACAGGTGTGTGCATGATGCCCAGCTAATAGTTCAATTCTTTTTTTTTTTTAAATGTTTTAATTCTTAACTAATTTATGCATAGAATTTTGTTGAGATTGGCAGTGACAGTCCCTTCTTCCCTGATCTTGATTAGTTATTCTTGCTAATTAATTGGAAAGTGCTGCAGAATAAAAAAAATTAGATTTTTTTTTCTCCCTAAACTTTTTGTTCAGAAGACTTTTAGGTTGGTTGGGATAGTCTTTCCATATTTTTAAACCTTTTGTAACCTGTGTAGATAATGTCTTCTAAAAACAGACTGTGTTTAAATAGACAGTGTTTTTAAAAAGTCATTGTTTTCAACAATAAAATCATGGAACAATGGAAACATTTCCAAATATAGTTTTAAGAAGTATACCCTCTTTATAGTATAGGTATCCTTTGAAAAGGCGTTATTTTCTTTTTCACTATTAAAATATTTTTTTTTTATTTTCAAAAGACAGATTAAATATATTGTATTTTTGGGACCTGAAGGTAGCATATTACTAACGGTAGCTGTTTATCATCATATAAATGTTTGGCATTTTTAGAACTACTTACACTGTGGAAAAGGGAATTGCTTATTTCAAAACTCAGCTTTTAAGAACTTGATGAAAAGAAAAATCAGGAAACCAGAAAGTTATTTTCACACACTCTCTCTTTACAAAGATTCCACCATTTAAAGATCTGTTTTTAGTATATAGAATGTAAGCCTAAGTAAGTTTCAGTATGCTGAAATGGAATGTTCACTTGAGGACACTGCTCTTAACTCTTCTCTGTCGTGGAACTGCTGGTCAGCTCTGTACAGATCTGAATAAGAGTACTAATGCCTATTTATATAGTAACTTGTAGTACAACTTTGTAATATAACCATTGAGACATTTAATGTAGAATATCTGATTTTCTTCTTACATCCCTATGAATCATCTTTTACACTTCCATATATATATAACCCACTTTGGAGAGAAGTACTTTAAACAGTTCCTGGTGGGAGGGGGAAGAGGAGCAAGGGGTTTGGAATGGCTCCGTAGTTGGAATGGGCTGTTTGATAGTTTCATGAGTTCCTTGTCTCTAGAAGAGGGCAAAACATAGAGGAAATCTGCTTGGTAGGAGGTTGGATTTAAGACTCCCACTCCAAACCCTTTAAGAATATGACTTTAATTTTTTAAATGGAAGTTCTTCCATGAATGAATTAAATGCATGTGCTATTGTGAGAGGCTTAGAGATCTAATAGTGAACTAAACGAAGACCCTTTTCTCATAGGAATTCAGTGTGGTACAAGTAGATAGATATTAGCAACTCAGTACACCAAAGTCTTTTAAGTTCAATTTAATAATTTGTTTGCTTTGATATTTATGTCTTATTGGTATATATAATAAAATTGTTTTCAGTTCTAGAAATATTATTACCATTATTTGCCAAATGCTATAGTAGAAACTGGAGTGTGGCCTTTTTTTAAAAAAAATATATGCATGAAACTCATTGATGATAACAGAAAGCAAAATGGCTTTAAACAGAAGAGCCTTAAGGAAATCTACAGGAGGGCATTTATTTGCTGAGAATTTCAGGTGGTTCTACTTTTACTTTAAGAATTTTTGAATCACATGGAAGTACTTTAGTGAACTAATGGGGAAAATGTCACCAGACTACACAACAAGGGGTCAATTTGACCAAGTTAGGTTTAGAAGTTTGTTCTGTTCATAGTGTAGAGTAAACTTTGGATTTGTACAGGTTGAATTTCAGAGTACCTTATGAAACAAGACAGACATAAGGGATTTTTGCCCAAGTGCACGTAAGACTGTAAGTGCAACCTATTTAAACATGTAATTAGGCAAATTACAGTGTAAATTCTTGAACTACTTTGTTAACATCTGACACATTTTCTTTTTAGTATTATTCTTCAGTGTTGTAATAAAATTTTCTGAAGCATTATGTTAGAAATTTTAAGTAGCCACAAAATTGGGACAGAAATTTTGGTTTGTACTGAGAAAAGAATTCCTCAAATCCATTTTCTTAAATGGTTGTCTAATGTTGACAGATTCCCATTTGCAAAGGCTAAGTCACTGTTTATGTACACTTAAAATGTTTGATGTATTTTTAATTGTTCATTTTAATTATAATACTAATATGTTTATTGTAAAGAAAAAAACAGAAAAGAAATATATAAAGTATGAAGTAATAGTACCTAATCCTATCTCTTCCAGAGAGAACAATATGGCATACAAATTTCAAATTTTTAATTATGGAAATAATATATGAAACAAGCAGTTTTGAACTTAGTTTTTTTGTCTTACATGGGGGTGGGGAATGAAGGAGGAACTTGAGATTGGAGTAAGTTTAAGTTTTACCATGAAGAATTTTGAGGGGGCTTTGAAATATTCAAGTAGAGATGACAGGAGGCATAGAGGAGAATTGGAGTTGATAAAGACTGGAGCACCAGAGGGAGTCAGTAGTCACTGAAACTGGAAATAGATG